TGGGGTTCCCCGCAGGGCTGTAATTTCTTTCAGGTTTATTCCTGTGGTATTTTGAAGAGAAGCTGAAGTCACATGGGTACTTAGCCACTTGTGGACCAGCCTACATATGTGGGACTGGTTTGCTCTTTTGAAAACAACACTGAAAGAATTGCAGACGCTTGCTCTATCCAGCGGCTGTCCTGAAGCACAAGACCAGGGCCCATGTGTTCAGGTGTGGAGAAGGAATGGTTTTAATGTCCCCCAGATACTGTGGCCTTGGCTGCTGAGTTATGATACGCCATAACTACCTAAGACCTTAAATATGTGCGTATCCTTTAACCCAGTAATTCTACTTCTAGAAATTTAACCTGAGCATAAATTTGTGATTACATACAAAGTTCTAATCACAAGGATATTTATTCCAGATTTGTTTATATAGTAAGTTATCGGGAAACCACCTAAAATAGTAGACTGTTAAATGTACAATAGTCTAAAAACTCCATATATTAGAATGCCATGAAATCATTAAAGTTATTCCCTATAAATACATATATTTATTGACAGAGACTTTTGTTTATGATATTGTTGGATGAAAAAGGTTTCAAAAATCATATAATCCTATTTTTTTAAAACCTTATGTATGTATATATATGCATATATATATGTACGTGTGTATGTTCTGTTTATAAAACCATGACCCAGAGAGCTCGGTGTAGGAGACTATCTAAATCAAAAGAACTAACCCAACAAAAGTAATTTTAAAGTAAAGTTACTCCTTTACTCATATTTTTCATGTATGCGAGGGCAAATATATCATGCACAGTAATACTATTGAAATGTCCTTGATTCCTCTTCCATTCACATGCTGTAGCTGCTTCTGCACCTCTCTGGAAAATCCCACTAGGAAATCCTGCAGCCCACACCTCTTCTGCCTCTCGTTGCCCATCCTCTGTCCTAGTCTCCATCACACACACACACAGGGAGGGCCCTCCCTAGAAGGGGAGCAGGGGAGAAACTGACCTGGGCCAAGCCAGCACTCTCTGTCGTGGCCTGTGGCAGGAGGAGGGTGTGGGTTAAGCTCCAGCACTCGAAATCTTCCTCCTATTTCCTATGCATAGAGAACATCCAGAAGGACATGGGTCAAATATTAACTTTAGTTACTTCTGGTGGTAGGATTAGAGTAGATTTTAATTTTCTTCCTTTTGCTTATCAGTGTTTTCTAATTTCCTACCACGAACAGACATTCCTTGATTAATTTTTTAGAATTTTTGTTGAAGTACATCTTAATTAATATACAAAATAGCTTTTAAAAAAATAGCTCCCCAGTGCTTTTCAAGAGTATGAAGTCAGAGCAACAAGTATGTCTTTTCAAGTTAACTTTTCAAGTTAACTTTTCAAGTTAACTTTTCAAGTTAAAGAGGTGTAAAAATATATTCTCTGTCGAGATATGGCCCCAACATTGTACCCACCAAGCTGACCATCAGCCGACACTGGGAGGTTTGTCTTTGTTCCTGTCTTCCTCTTTCTGTCAAATAAAAGCAAAAGGCATTTTCAAAAATGAGCAAGTGAGGGAGAAGGGCTTAGGGAAAGTTATGCCAGTAGACATGGTATCTCTCATCTGAAAATGGACACAAGTGTAGGGCCCTGAGAGACTGAGTGAGGTCATCCGCATGGAAGAGCCAGCACAGGGCTGGTACGTCCCAGGTCCTCAAGTAGATTTGAGCACCTGCTATGTTAAGTTCTTGCACTTAACAATGACTGGCTTCAGCTCTGAGCTGGGCTCTGCACTGGGGGCTGTGAATGCAATAATTAGTAAGATACCCAACCCTAAAGTAACCCCCAGTCTATGGGAGGAAAAAACTGTAACAACAACAACAATAATAATAATAATAATCGCAGCTAACATTTATTAAATACTTATGTGCCAGACATTCTTCTGAGTGTTTTATATTTATATATTGGTGTTTTCCATCCTTTTAGTAATCTATGAGGTAGATGATCTCAATAATTATTTTAACTTCTGTTCTCCTGATCACAGAAATCTATTTGACCCTCTGTCAGAGCCTACAACTGTGGTATGGTAATGGATCAGTTTATATATGTACAGTGGATAAGAGCTTGAGTGCTAGAATCCAACTTTCTGGGTTCAAATCCCAGCTCCACCAATTATGGGCAACATATTTGATCTTTTGATACTTCAGTTTCCTCATCTGTAAATGGGGAATAATCATGGTTGTTACCTCGTAGGTTATTGCAAGGATGAAGAGTCAGTATGTGTAAAGCACTTAGAACAGTGCCTGGCATACGAGCAGTTAATAAATGTTAGCTACTATTATTGTTGCTGCTTTTGTTATTTGTCTCTTCCTGTAGACTGGGAGCTCCTTGAGGTCTGGGTCACTATCTTATTGTTGTATCCACAACCCCCAACCCAGGGCATAGTATAGGGTTGAAGCAAGTAATTGTCAGTTAAGCTAAAGAACAAACTTATTACTACTCGTATGTTGCAGGGGGTAGGGAAATATTCCCTTCGTGAATAGATATCCGATTCCCCCAGGGATGATGATAATAGGAGGAACTTGGCACCTCCTAGAGCAGACAGAGTCTAAGAAATAGTAAACATCAGATCCACCTCGGGGCTCTTGGGGCAGTGGGAAAGTAGGGAGATGTTGCTATGAAGTATTCTGTTGCCCTGCCTAAGGCACAACTATAAATTCATATAATAATAGATCCACCAATATGGCTAGAAATGAATAGCACAGCTCAGGGGTGGGAAAAATCAAAGCTCAGCTCACCCCAGTGTCATTCATCTCTCCGCTGGGTGTAGTTTAGCATGAAGCATCCCTTCTGTATTAGGGAGGGTTGGGATGTGCGGAGGAAGGGCCCTGTGTGGGTGGCAATCAGCGTTGACAGGGGAATTCGCGTGAGAGGCAGTGAGCGCTGCTGGCTGCTGCGACAGGGAGCTGAGAGCTCTAGGCTCTGCCACCACCCGCCTCTGCATTGCTTTGAGTAAGTCACTCGACCACTCTGGCCTCAACCGCCTTATCTGTAAAATGGAGCTTGAATAGTCTCCTAAAGTCCCTTCAGTCTTTGAAATTCAGTTCAGAATGTTCTCTGCATTGTGAAGAAAATTTCTATCAGGAGTTGCATTCACTCCTAGAAGATATTTCCAGGCAAAATCTCAACAGGCAGGCAGATCTGCTGGCCTTCAGGGAGTACATGTCCCAGATTGCGACCTCAAGCCTTTCCCTAAAGAACCTCTAATAGCAGAAGAACTCCACTGTTGTCTCCTAGCCCAGAGTTTGGGGGTATGCACCCAGGCATGAAATGCCTTTGAGTTCTTGTTTGTTATCACAAAGGTAATTTTGCATTCTATACCATAATCTATCCTTGCTCGTGGTAATATAAAAATGGTACAGCATTTTAAATTACTTATTATAGATGTTTGTCGATAAGTCTAGACTTGAAGGCTGATGGAGAGCCTCACTTTTGATCTTGAACTCTATAGCTAAGTCCTAATGCTGGATGATAAGATTATAGGAAATATGTATTCTTTTTATACTTTCATAGTTTTGCTTTCTTCTCTAATGAGCCTGTATTAATTTGATGCCAAAGAAAAGTTAATACATTTTTTTAAAAATGAAATATAACACAGTGCTGACCTTCATGTGTGGTATTTAAGGAGGGAAGGACGTCCCTTTATGAATGAGTTCCCTAATGACATTTTCTTGCTGCGCTCATTTCATACATCCAAGTGCTTTATACATAATAATTACGTGAGAAATATATGCAGCTGAATGAATAGAAGTAATCGCAATGATGATTATGATGATGACGACAGCAACTAATATTATTGTGTTGTTACCTGTGCCACTGTTATGAAATCTTTACATGTATATTTATTTAATCCTTATGAAACCCTTTGAGGCAGTATCGCCCTCATTTTGCAGAAGAAGAAACTGAAACACTGAAAAGTTAAAGTAACTTGCCTGGTTGGAGCATCTTTAATGCCCTTTTATCTTCTCCGTGCTCCTTTTAGATCTGGCCATTGCGGTGGCAACGCAGTAACCTGCCACCTGAGCTGTCTCTTATCCACCTTAGTGTCACCTTAGCAGTCTCTTACCTTGTATCTTTTATGTTCTTGCACGCTGAGACTCGTGCACATGCCAGACCGGTGGAATTAGCTCCTGCAGGTGCCCACCTAGCAGTGGCAGAGAAGCCTCAGACACTTGCTTAGCGAGCGTTCATTAGCAGGCAAGCATGAGACGTCCACGCAGCCTGCTCTGGAAGCTGATGACGTCCTAGCTCTTTGCCCCCATAGATACTGAAGCTGCTCCTTGAATGAAAGGTTCAGTGGAGAAAGGCAGGGGAACATTCTAGATCAGTGGATCTCAAACTTGAGCAGGCATTAGGATCTCCTGGAGGGTTTATTTTATTAAAGCCTGGATTGCTGGGTTTCACCCTCCAGAACTTCTGATCGAGTGTACACCACACTTCGAGGTTGGTGATCTAGAAGCAGGTTTTGTCACTCTCTCTGATAACTGGCATCAGGCCACCAGCGATTCCCTAATCAATGGCTGGATACGCGACCATTTAGAGAGTTAGTCTATAGTCTAGAGTGCCATCCCTCTGCATGTAGACTACAGGACATTCCAGATTCTTATACCCAAAGGCACAAGGGCAAAGAGTGTCTCTAAAAGATTTTAGAAAATGCCATTAATTTCATCATTGAAAGCCATTTCTCATGACTGTTATGCAATTAGCAAAGCCTGTGTCATTGGTTGAACTATATAGACAACTGACGTGCACAATGAAGGCTGGACTATGGCCTTCCTGATAAAATGCTAGCTGACTACCCCTGTAGTGTGAATTCCTAGATATGGCACATAGGATATCATTTAAATTAGCACAGATGCATAATAGCCCCTGTCCAGAGTGAACATTTTAGAGTAAATTACAGACCAGCATAATGGGAAGGAAAGTTAATTAATTAACAGATCAATGGTCTTTGTTTTGTCCCACAGACTGAGCCTGAAATCATAGAGGAAACCAACATTGACCGAGTTCATGAGCCCCGGGGCTATACCAGGTCTCGGCAGGTGAAAGGCCACTCGGAGACCTCCACACTGAGCTCCCAGCCCTCCATCGACGAGGTCAGGCAACAGATGCACATGCTGCTGGAGGAGGCCTTCAGCCTGGCGTCCGCGGGCCACGCAGGCCAGAGCCGGCACCAGGAAGCCTACGGGTCAGCCCAGCACCTGCCCTACTCAGAGGTGGTGACCAGCGCTCCAGGGACCATGACGCGGCCCAGGGCTGGAGTGCAGTGGGTGCCGACCTACCGCCCAGAGATGTATCAGTATAGTCTGCCCCGGCCGGTAAGTCATTCATCCCACCCACCTGCCACCATCATGTCGGGCCGCCCAGTGTGTTCCAACATGAGACCCAGAGCAGGGGCTCACAGTAATAAGCTACTTTGGGATTTGGAGATGAACTTGGCTGGGCTCACATCCCATCTTCCACCCACGATCCAAAGCCTAAGCCTTCTACTCTCAGTGGGCAAGGCACACAAGAAGCCCTATGTCCAACCATAATATATTTTAGAATGAATTTCCTTTTCTACTTAATATAGTTTAGAATGAATTGCCTTTTCTACTATCCTTCATGTAAAGGGCTGACTTCATTCTTCATGCACTGGTGGTTTTCTGTACTTTCAAGTATGAAACCCATTTTAAATGCCAGAAGGCATCACAGAACCACATGTTAAGGGGTTGTGTAGCCTGGTGGTTGGGAGCATAGGCTTTGAGCCAGGTGGCTTGACTTTGAATCCCAGTTCTACCATGTGAAGGCTGTCAGAATCAGAATGGAGTCACTTGTGTTGATAAAAAAATAAAAAAACCTGACGGCCGGGGAATGCCATGAAGGGAGGGTTTTCATGCATAAATTCGTGATAACAAGAACTATCACAAAAGACTGCAAAAATCACAACCTTATACAAAGGCCGTTGCAACCTTACACCAAAAACTACTTCTGTGAGGACATCTGCCTAGCAGCTGCCTTCCAGCCTTGAACTGGCACCACCCTTGTTGTTGCTCCTTTTAGCCAAGGATAATTATCTCAAAACAATTATGTTATCCTCCTCATTTTCCCTTTAAAAACGTTTGTCTTCCTTTTTCTCCCTGAATACGCACATAGTTGACTATGGCATGCGTATTCCCATCGCAATGCCTATTCCCAGATAAATATCATTTTTTTAAGGGAACCCCTCTCTCTCTCAGTTATTTAGGTTGACAAACACTTACTGGCTTTATAACTTGGGGAAGTTACCTGAATTCTCTACAGGTGAAAATAAGTAAGAAAACTACCTACCTCCTAGAGTCGTTATAAAGGTTAAATGAGTTGATGTATGTGAGATACTAGAATGCCGGATACAGGGTACATGCTATAGAAGTATTAGTCGTGATTATTTCATTAAGTAGCAATTGCACTTCCATATTTGAGAAAGCACCCAATGACGAAAAGCTTCCATGATTTAAATTATTTTGTTTGCATTTCGCTCATCAAGATAGCATCTACATATATCTTTTTAAAAAGACATAGTTTTGTAAACCATAGCCTGTAATAGACAATGCTTTGGCCATGTATAGGTGCCAGATTCTGGGAATCTGAGATGAGATCTGGGTTTTAGAGAGAAAAGCGCAGACAACCAGGACAAGTCTTCCAACCAGTGGCAGGCAAGAAGACGTGACGGCCTATATCGATTACACCTCGGTTTATCGAACCATCTAAAAAATTCGTTGTGGGACATATGAAAACTTAGATAGTTCTGTTTATTATAACTGAGGGTAGGCAATTGTGCCCAAACGGGCAAAAACATCAGCATTAAATATATATATATATTTTAAATGAAGCCACCTATAATGGAAAAGGACTGAGAAGTAACACAACAAAGAGGTGGGCCATCAAACCAGAGCGATATTCAAGGCAGTTCTTTTGTCATTAAGGTTTCCTTCTTTGCCAATAACACGTGTGGTCCCTATTTCCATGATAGGAGAAAATAGCTAACAATACACAGTAGTAATGATGATTCTTAACCCAAGCTCTTGCAGAGCCCCCTTGTGCTATGATAATGTGGAAATCAATATAAAAGGTGGCAATTTAAAATGATAACTATGATTACTTTTTGTCTTCTAAAAAGGAAGCTCTTCCAGCTCTGTCGGGTGATAATTGGAAGCTGGTGATTTAAATGCACTAGGCCAGGCTGAAGGCATTTGTATCATGGGAAAGGTTATTGGTGGCAGCTTAGGATTTCTGCACTGCACTTTAAGAGACTCTTGATCATATTTTATGCCTTGAAACTATGAAGAAATTGGACTCAACACCTAATGACCAATCCAATTTTGCTAGTGGCCATAATGGATCTGTGCCAAGTAGAATGAAAACATCCTACTGTCTTCCCATCTTCCCATTGGTGATAGAGTCGGGGATTTTGAAAAAGGCAACGGGGCTAAACCATCTTTCCCGCTAGAATCTTTACAGATGAAATTAACAGTAATAATGATAACAACAGTTGACATCTATTGAACTCCTGTTGTTTATTGGACACCTCTTCCCCTAGGGTGACACAGGACACAGGGCCCGTTTTCCAGACCCGTTCACATCTAAACTATCTTGCTTTCCCCTTCTAACTCTCCTCTCCTTCCTCTTCAGAGCAGAGTGGTCTAAATATACCTCACCTCTTCCAAATCCCTTGTTTATGGCATCCGACTTAGGCCTTGAGTGTTTTGGAACTTAAGTTTAGGTTTTTGATATTCAAAATCCTAGGTTCTTGCGATTCAATAGCTTTGGTTTTTGAAACCCCACTAAGAATTGGCTCTTGTGCCACCCTCAGTCTGCTGTGCCTCCTTCCCTGGGGTAGGAAGGTGGGATGCCCTAGTTGCTTGGGGCAGGGAAAGGGACCTAGATTCAAAGAATTGTGGAAGAAAAAAAATTTCGGTTGCTACAATTGCTGGTTGAGCATCTCAAATCCAAAATCCGAAATGCTCTAAAATCCAAAACTTTTTGAGCACCGACATGACGCTCAAAGGAAATGCTCATTGAAGCATTTTGTATTGTGGATTTGGGGATTTTGGGTGCTCACCCAGTAATGCAGATATTCCAGAATCAGAAAGAATCCTAAACACTTCTGGTCTCAAACATTTCGGATGAGGGATACTCAACCTGTGCTACATCAGAATATTATCCTGTCTCAGAAGGAAGGGAATAGCACTTACCAAGTACCTACTGTGTGCTAAATATTTCATTAATATATAAAATTAGTCTTTAAACAGCCTTTGAAATCAGGGTATGATACTCTTACCTTCTTATCTAACAAGAAAGCAGTGCAGAGAATTTAAATAAGTTGCTCAAGGTCAAGCAGCCAGTAAGGATCAAAGCCAAGACTCAAACCCAGATTTCTCTGATTCTAAAACCCGTATTCTCTGCACCACACCACCCTGAGCTCAGAATTGCCAGACAGTGTCCTTAATTGACTTGTGTGATTTTGGACAAGTCAGTTTACCTCTCTGGGCTTCACTATCCCCATCTGTTAAGGTAAGAGATGTGGTCTGCCTGTCTCTTGCTCTTTCCAGCTTGGACCTTCTGTGATTCTCTTGGAAGCCTCAGATAATGCCCTGGTCAATAGCTCCTGGTTAACTGACAGATAAGATAAGTACTGGGTTTTCACCTTGTAGTCAGACTTAATTACCAAGCCCCATGCTTTCAACTAAATAAGAACTATCCTTCTAGAAGATTTTACCTCCTTCACCAAGGTGTAAAGTTATTTATAGTTGGATATGAACAGGGAGGACCTTCCTCTGCCTGGCGCAGTGTACTCAGGGTCAGCACGATGCCGTGGAAGGGGCACCATGCAGAGGAACCCGGTGTTGCCACCAGGTATGGAAAGATTGGAGCATCCACTCTGCCCTGGGGCCAACTCGCTGGCACTGGACAAGGGCTTCTAATGAGAGTGAGCTGGCTTTGGCTTGTTGGTGGCCTTTCCCCCACTAAGGCAAAGCCTGAGACCACCTACCCCGTCTGTCCAACTGCACCCTGTCACCCTCATGATGCTACCCTTGGGGTTTATTGTTACTGGGTCCCTCCTCCTGGGTGGACACACATGCACAAGAAGGGGCCAGCACACAGTGGGTCTCATCTGTGCTCACCCTCCACCGGGATGGCTAAAGAGGATGGCCCTGAACCACTCTCTTCACCTTCTACCCAGGGGCAGTCAAGACTGGAACTTGGAACAGACAATGGCCACCTTCCTTCCACATTACACCCAAAAGTCTGAGCCCAAAGAGTGCCCTATTCTAGTCACACCCAGTCTCCTTCAACCTCGGAGACCTGAAGCCTATGTACAAAGACTACCTTCCGTTCTGAGTCTCTGATCTCCTTCCTGGCCAGAGGACAGGGACCCCAAAGATGGTGTCCTTGAGTTCCTTGGGTGCCAGGCTAGGCACCTCGCAGACACCATCATGGAACTGGGCACTTGGAACCTGGCAACAGTTTTGAGCAATAGCTCCCAGAGGGATTCCCGTCACAAAGCAGCCAGCAGAGATCCAGATTCCAAATACACAAGAAAGGGAACTAGAACGCAAGGATAAGCAGTCTTAAAGCCATGGGGAACCTGCACAGGGGAGGTAGGAAGAAAGAAAGAAACAGTGTAGGAAGGTTCCCTTGGCCCATGGCATAGGCTGCCTCTTTTTTTTTTTTTTTTGAGATAGGGTCTCACCGTGTGGCCTGGGCTAGAGTGCAATGGCATCATCATAGCTCACTGCAACCTTAAACTCCTGGGCTCAAGCAATCCTCCTGCCTCAGCTTCCCGAGTAACTGGGACTTTAGGCACACAGCACCACTCCTAGCTAAGTTTTTTTTTTAATTTTAATTTTTTCTTTTCTTTTCTTTTTTTCTTTTTTGTAGAGACAAGGTCTCGCTATTGCCCAGACTGGTCTCAAACTCTTGGACTCAAGCTGTCCTTCCACCTTGGCCTCCCAAAGTGCTAGGATTACAGCCATGAGCCATCGTGCCTGGCGATGCCTTCTATTTTTCATGTGGACCCTGTGGCTGCCCCAGGGCCCTGAGGATACAGCCCAAAGGCAGCTGCCTGATCTCCTATGCAGCCTTGCTTTGTACCTGGCAGAATCTTCCAGAGAAGGGAATTCCCTTGGTGCTTGTCAGAAGTTCAGACTTTTAATCAGTTCTCTTGGTGAACTGCTAAAGGACAGGCACAGGCATAGAAAGCCTTTTCTTGGCTGGGAAACTGTGTTGACTACAGAATAAGCCTTCCAAGAACCAGGGATAAAAATAGATCGTCTGTCTCCTCTGTTGAATAGCATGAGAGGCCAGAAGAGAGAAGAGGGCTGTAAACCCTTTTCTCTATTTTGGGAAAGGAGTGCCTTACTTGTTGGTGTATTGATAATCGTGGAGTGTAAAGCTGGAAGGACATCCAGGACAAGGGTTTCCAAACTCTGCAAAACCTCAGAGTTTAGGGAGGTCCCAGGGGGTCATCATACAGATGAGTGAAGGGCCAAATTCACCAGGAGAGAAGAAAAGCTCTGCTTTAATCTGTTAGTGTGTTAGAATCTGTCAAAATGATTGCATGGGCTGGGCGTGGTGGCTCACGCCTGTGATCCTAGCACTCTGGGAGGCCAAGGCGGGTGGATCGCTCAAGGTCAGGAGTTCGAGACCAGCCTGAGCAAGAGCGAGACCCCGTCTCTACTAAAAATATAGAAAGAAATGATCTGGACAACTAAAAATATAGAGAGAGAGAAAAAATTAGCCAGGCATGGTGGTGCATGCCTGCAGTCCCAGCTTCTCGGGAGGCTGAGGCAGGAGGATCACTTGAGCCCAGGAGTTTGAGGTTGCTGTGAGCTAGGCTGACGCCATGGCACTCAATCTAGCCCGGGCAACAAAGCAAGACTCTGTCTCAAAAAAAAAAAAAATGATTGCATGGCTAAAGAAATGAAGCTCCTCAGCTAGACCAGTGCCTTATTTCACAAGGAAAACAAAACAAACAAAAAACAGGGTTCAGAGAGACTGAATGGCATGTCCATAAAGGTGAATGGCTAATCCAGGAGAACCTGATTCACTCAACATTCATTCAGAAAATAGTTATTTAACACTGTCAGGTGTAAGACACTCTGCTCTAACGAAGAAGTACCATGATGAGACAGACATGGTTACTGAACTCCCAGGAGCTTAGGATCTAGTGGAGCTGAAGATTTGGCTCCCTGAATACCACCTTAGTATACATCGTTTGCTGAGGCTCAAAAAATGGGAATGCAGCACATAACATAGCTTTCCATACTGACTCAGTCAGTACGTCGAGATCTGGGCAGATGTTTTACTTCGTTCTTGTTCTAGAGAGTTAGTATTGCTGACACACTTCTGGGTTGACAGTTGTTTTCTCCAAGAACTTCACATTCCATGTCTTCTGGGTGTGATTGAAAAGCCACCTGTCAGTCTAATTGCCTTCCATTTGTAGGTGATATTCCTTTTCTCTCTTTTTGCTTTTAAGGTCTCTTTGCCTTTGGTATTCTACCATTTCACTACAATGTATCTACGTGTGTTTTTTATTTTATTTATCCTGCTTGGGATACATCGTACTTCCTGAAAGTATTAATTTGCTTATTTTATCAGTTCTGGAAAATTCTTAGCCATTGCTTCTTCAAATACTGCCTCTTCTTCATTCTCCAACTTCTCTGCTTTGGGACTTTCATTAGCTGCATGTTAGACCTGCTCATTCCGTCCTGCGTATCTTATATTTCTCTTTTACGTTATCTCTCTTCTTATCTCTTTGTGCTTAGTAATTTCCTCAATTCTGTTTTCCAGTTTATTAATTCTCTCTTCGTCCATGATTAATCTGTCATTTGATTACCTTACATCGAGTGTTTTACTTTAATAATCATTTTTCACTTCTATAAGTTCTATTTGTTCTTTTTTCAAATCTTCCTGATCATTCCTAATGGTATATCTTTCATCAATTATTTTTTTTAAAAGACATTTCTTACATTGTTATTTTTTGTTTCATATCTAGAAATTTCGAACTCTAAAGTTCTCAAAGGTCTAAATCTGTTGTTTTTTTTTTTCCACTGACTTTCACTTCTCTTTTCTGGTGTGTTTATGGTCTCGGATTATGAGCTGCTATTTGCTTCATCTTAAATGTGTGCTGATCCTGAGATCCTGCTCTAGGAACACTGTTCTCCAAAGAAGATTTACAATTGTTTCTGCCTGACCCTGGGAGCATTACCACCCTCCCTCCCTGGAAGGGATGATGCTGTTCCCCTTCCAGGTTGGAGGTGGGTGTCTCAGGTTCTGTCTCCTCACCTTGCCCTGCCCCAAGACTTGATCTCTTCCCTGACTGCCAATGTGGCATTTGTCTTCCAGGCAACACAACCTTTCGTATTTGCTCACTACTCACTATTTCCACCTCTGGTTTCAGCTCATGGCTTTGTTTTAGTTTGCTGAATTGTTGGTGTGGGAGAGGGGATGGGGGAGTAGTTCCTGGAGATGTCCGTTACATCTTGCAGTTTTCACAATGCATTAAGAAGTATGTTCTGGCCAGGCGCAGTGGCTCACGCCTGTAATCCTAGCACTCTGGGAGGCTGAGGCGGGCGGATCGTTTGAGCTCAGGAGTTCGAGACCAGCCTGAGCAAGAGCGAGACCCTGTCTCTACTAAAAAGAGAAAAAAATTAATTGGACAGCTAAAAATATATAGAAAAAATTAGCCGGGCATGGTGGCGCATGCCTGTAGTCCCAGCTACTCGGGAGGCTGAGGCAGTAGGATCGCTTGAGCCCAGGAGTGTGAGGTTGCTGTGAGCTAGGATGACGCCACGGCACTCACTCTAGCCTGGGCAACAGAGTGAGACTCTGTCTCAAAAAAAAAAAAAAAAGAAATATGTTCTATCTGGGACCTGGTTGTTACTGAGTGGGTTAGCCCTTACGAGTGTGTAGTCTGCCATAATGCTGCAGAGAGAAGACCTCATTCAATTTAACCAATCCTGTTTATGGATTCCCTGGGCTGCTGCCTTTTATCCTGATGCCTTCAGGTTTAAAGTCCTATCATCTTGTTCCTCAAGAGATCTGACAGGCATGATACCTAAAGAAAGAAGCAGATGAAAAGCACAAGTTTAGCTTTGTCTTCCGAGAGCATTTCTAGATTGTCTCTTGCTAAAGGAGGCTACGGCCTGGCTCTTTTTAATCCTGTCCATCTTTGTCCGTTTTTCTTTTATCCCTTCACCTACTGATAAAAGTCTTCACTTTTGTGACAGTTCCAGTCCTTTATCTTTGAATAGTGCTTTATAAATTGCAGAATACTCACACATGCACTGACTTACCCGATCTTCTTGGCAGCCCTCTGAGCAAGACATTGTTGTCCGTGTTTCAGAAGAGGATGCTGAGGTCCGGAAAGGTCACTTGACTTGCTTACGAACCTAAAGTCTGTTCATCGGGACCTTCACACATCCCTCCTGGCTCCAAATCCATTGCTTTCCTCCACTACCCCTGCTTTCCAGGAGAGAGAAAGTAAAACACAATCAATGATTCATTCATTCACTCATCTAATATTTATTGATCATCTGTTATATACCAGGCACTGTTCCAGCCATGAGCATATAGCTGTCAATGAAGCCCTTGCCCTTATTACAGTCTAGTTGGTGGCAGATAATAAATAAGCAAGCAACAATGTAATGCCAGAGAGTGATCATTGTCATGATGAAAAATAATACGGGGACAGATAAAATGGGGTTCTAGGGACATATGGGGCTGGATGGTTGAAATGAAGGAAGGCGCCACGGGAAGAACTGGGAAGAAGGCATCCCATCCAGGGGAAAGAAAAGCCTGAGGCCGAAAAGGCCTTGGCGTGTTCTAAGAACAGTTGAAAGGCTCTATGACCCACCATAGTGGCCCCTGCAAAGGGGAGAGCGGTGGGAGGTGAGGTAAAGAGGCAGCTAGAAACATGTTAAGGAAGATCTAAGGAAAGAGTCCAAGGAAGGAAGGAGGGTCTGGCCCACTGGCGCTGGAAGCTTGTGTTCCCCTTACATAAGAAGAGCGTGCTAGCTGATGACACCAGGTTTTAACAGATCTCCCTCTATTCGCTGCTTTCTTTCACAGGCCTACAGGTTCTCCCAGCTTCCCGAGATGGTCATGGGCTCGCCCCCTCCACCTGTACCTCCCCGGACTGGCCCTGTGGCTGTCACTTCTCTCAGGCGGTAACACATTCCTTTCTTTGCTTTGTTTGGAATATTTGGGAAAGATGCCGTCCTGTGTCCCCTGACCTGACAATAGCACCGATGAATTTCCTTCATGCTCTGCCCCATTCGGGGTGCATCACCTGTACAGACAGCCATGAGCCTGGGGCACTCCGGGTGCCATGAAGGAAGTGGGATCCTCAGAGGGTTGACCTTCATGTCTCTCTAAATAGAAAGTCCTTCAGAATCCACAGAGAAGCCCAAGGTCAACTGCCAGGCACCTGCCGTGTGGCCCCAGAGAGTTGCCCTGTCTCTCTAGCCCCTATTTCTTTATCTGCGACATGAGCACAATGGCCTAAATGATCTGGAAAGCTCTGGGATTCCTCAGAAGGGGTCTCAAAAGAGTGTATGGAGCAGAGGTCAGGAATTTTCTGGAAGGGCAGCGGATGCGTGGAGCAGCATGTGGGAAGCCAGGGCTGTGAGAGCAAGCAGGTAGAGAGGGAGGGAGGGAGAAAGAAAGGAAGGGAGACCCCACCCTGAGCCACCAGCACCCACCCTGATGTACAGTCAAATCATCGTCACAGCCTCCACATTTAACCCTCCTCTCCTCCTCCTCCTCCTCCGGCAAACAGCAGGGGGTGTCTCGGTGACTCCTGAGAGTTCGGGATTGGAGGGGCTTCACATCAGTCATTTGTGCTAGGTGGGCTGAAGGCCAGCATCAATTTCTTATTTCTCTCAACCACCAGCCTGCTCCCATGCCCTTCCCTACCATCTGCCATCCTTGCCACGTATCAGGGGGCCGCTGCCCTTCATATAAACTAGAGGATTAGCCCAGGATGGCAGAGCCTTTGCGGCAAGGCCACCCACCCCTTTCCTTTTACAGGCAAGGAAACAGGCTTGGAGAAGGGAGCTCGATCCCAGCCCTCTGTGTCCCATCCTCTCCCTTGCTGTGGCTCTCTCCTGCTCCTCAGCTCAGAGGGTGGCCCTGTGGGCTGGCAGCCTGCCACCTGCTGCAGCTGCCTTTCCTCCCTCCCATTTTAATTTTAGGGGAGCCTGAGATCCGTCTGTGAAACTGCCTCAGGCAAAGGGTGATGCCTGCGAGGAAAAACAGCCTGTGGCACCCTTAAATTGGGGAGATGCCACGTCTGCACAGCCCAGGCTGCCCTCTTCTTACACGGCTTTCTGAGCACTAAGTGGAAATAGGATGTGTTCATGGGCCCATTCTCTGGTTGCCCGTGGGACCAAAAACAAAACAAAAAGTTCTCTTAGTCACAATGTCCACTGCTCCCTGGAGCAGCCTGAGCTTCTGAGTCTGGGCTTGGTGCTTCCTGCCAAGAGTAGCAGGGAAGGTGGCCCCCCAGCCATCCCGGTCCATTCTGGTGTCAGTGAGGGGGCAGCCTCGGGGCGCTCCAGACGGAGCCTTCTCATTGGCTGCCGATGATGTCATCACCTCCGAGGTCGACCATGCCCGCTAATACCCAGCGCTAATTGCTTCCTTCTTTTATATGGAAATTAAATGTTCAACCACCCACAGCCGCGACAGCCACTCTTAGGGAAGAACTGACCTTGAACATCTAAAAATGATTCCAGCTCAGGCCAACGGGACAGCTGCTACAAGCCTGAGAGTTCCCGCCATGTGGGCGCCCCCAGAAGGCCCTTTGCTATTGGGGGGCAAATCCAGTCCTGAGCACCCCACCCTCGCGCGGCTGGGAGGCAGCTGCCCACTCCCAAAGGTGACGGGCGCGCTCCCCCTGCCCTGCCGCCCGAGTCTGGGGCAGCGCTAACGCGGCCCCTCTGCCCTGCCCAGGTCCACCTCAGACATCGGCAGCAAGACCAGGATGGCCGAGTCCGCGGGGCCCGAGCCGGCGCAGCTGCACGACAGCGCCTCCTTCGCGCAGGTGTCCAGAGGCCCCGTGTCCGTGGCGCAGTTGGATCAGTCGGCTTTAAATTACTCAGGTGGGCAAGAGCAGAAAGGCCTGAGCAACTGCGGCCCTGCTGCTGTGCTTTCGCCCTCCCTGGCCGCCCCATCCTCTCTCCTGCCGCCTGCCACCCTCAGGAATCAAAGCCACTGCCTTTCTGGATCCCCTCCTGACTTCAGTAGCCGATTAAAAGAGCTACAGGTCTTATTTCTGGAAAAGATCTGAAATCGGGCAGAATACCAAGTAATGTGAAAGTCAGGGTGTATGTTAACATTTTGCCAGATTTTAGTTTGGTTTTTTGTTTTATCTTCAAAGCGTTCTGGATACAGCTATCCACCCCCATCTCATTCCCCTTCTCCCAAAAGGTAATCACAGTCCTCAAGGCACAGGTTTTAATCTTTTGCTTCATATGTACGTATATGTAACAGTCTATATTCATGTTCTATGCATTTGAAATTTACATAAGTGATATCATGCTATACATTTCCCTTTGCACTTTGTTTTCTAAATTTAATGTTGTTTTCAAGATTTCTCCAGGTTGCTGTCCACATACTGTGTAGATCTAGTTCATTCATTTAAACTGCCATATGGTTTAGACCCTACGATGGGGTCTAAGACCCAGGTGATATACCAACAAAAAGAAGAAAGGGATACAGCAGAGGGAACCTGGTCTTCCTGATCTTTATGGAACTCTTCTAGGGCCACCGTGCTCAGCTGACCAGGTTGTGCACTGCTCAAGGGCACCTGGCCTAGAGGCCAAGTAGGGCTAAAGTCCAGCCTGTGTTCTTTTTGCCAGGGATGGGGTCTGCACTTGCCCAGTGAAGGGAATCCTGTTTTGAATGTAACCAAAGGCAGCATGGGCTCCTAGTGCTTTGGACTTTTCCCATCTTCTCATCCCCTAAAGACACAGTGATAGGCCTAGCCAGCACATCACCCACTGGGCCTGCATCTGCCCAAGCTGGGGGAAGTGGGGAAACAGAGGACTCTGGCATTGGCCTTGGCTGGGGTAGGAGAGGACAAAGTCCATGGAGGAAGCAGGGCAGGGAGCTACAGATTTCCACCTGCACCCAGCACTGCTCACCTGCCCAGTCAGCACAGGAGGATGTCATCTGCTGTGACTCAGACCTGCCTTTCTATGGAAGTGACAGCTCAGAGCCCCCCCGCTGAACCCTCACTAACTCCCCCACCCACCCCATCCCAATACCCCTGACCTGCCAGCAAGAGGAAATGACACCTCAGTGTCCACAGGTGTTTTTCTACCAGGAGGATGTGTATTTTTTGAGCCAAGAAAAAGAACCAAAAGGAACGAACTTCACTGGTGGAACTTCTGGACACCATGAATGCTTTAATAAATTTTGGCAACAGGGTTCTCACAGTTTTAGCCTAAAAAGCAGTTTGAATAAACTAAAAAATTAGGTCGTGTACAAACTCAATGTTCATTTCAGCATTGTTCATAATAGCAAAAGACTGGAAACAACCATGATGTCTGTCAGTAGGGCAAAGGCTAAAACTGTGGCTCATACAATAGAATACCGTATGGCAGGTGAAATGAATAAACTAGATCTGTACAGTATGTGAGTAGCAACCTGGAGAAATCTTTAACATTGAAAACAATGTTAAATTGAGAAAACAAAGTGCAAAAGGAAATGTATAGCGTGATATCACTTATGTAAATTTCAAATGCATAGAACATGAATATAGATTGTTATGTATACATATGAAGTAATAGATTAAACCTATGACTTGAAGGCAGCAATTACCTTTTGGGAGAAGGGAAGAAGGGGAATGAGATGGAGGTGGGTAGCTGTATCTGGAATGCGTTGAAGATAAAACAAAAAACCAAACCGAAGTCTACTGAAATGTTAACAGACACTCTACCTTCGATGGAGCTACATCCCCCAGCAAATGTTACAGCCCAGAGCAAGCTCCCTCCACCTTCAAACCAGCAGACAGCCAGGGGGCCTGTGAAACTGGCTTTATTTGGCCCTTGGGTGGCTGGAACCCAGAGACCAGCCCCCCTAATCTCCCCGCCCTCCATCTCCTCTGTGCCAGGTAATACGGTTCCGGCAGTGTTCGCCATCCCAGCTGCCAACAGACCTGGCTTCACCGGCTACTTCATCCCGACACCTCCCTCGTCCTACAGGAACCAGGCCTGGATGTCCTACGCAGGAGAGAACGAGCTCCCAAGCCAGTGGGCCGACTCGGTGAGACCCTTTCTGATTCCCTCATAAAACTTCATCTGCTTGACACACATCAGGGAGAAAATGGGATGAAAAGTTAAAACGGAGTGTTTTGTTATCTCAACCCCACAGCCACTAACCAGATGGCTAAGGTCAGCCATTTTAAAGGAGATGATGTGGTAAGGCAGGATGTCCTTTGACAGAAGAACTTAGACCTGCCTTCTAGTCCAGGCTCTACTTCTTCCTAGCAGGGCCATCTTAGTCAAGTAAATTTTTATAATAATAAGTACCATTTGTTGAGTATTTTCCATGTACCAGACACCATGTTAGATGTTTTGTCTATATTATGTCATTTAATCTTTACAATAGTCTTATCAGGTAGGTATTATTATTCCCATGCTTACTTCCATTTTGCACATAAGGAAACCGAGGCCTAGTTAGGTGCTGTGACTTGTCTAAGGCCACATAGTTAGCAAAGAGGTGTCGAGGCCAGAATTCAAGCCTGCACCTCTTACTCCAAAGCTTTCGTTAAATTAGTTTCTTTTAGCTGTAAAATTTTAGATGAAATGTCAGAAAATGAAGCATTGGAAACCCAAGACTGAATTACCTCGCATACAGATTCTAGAACTTTCTGCTTAACTTCTGGCCAAGGACTGCCTTCTCATGGTCCCCTGGTTTCTTCCATCATGACAAGTAGGAGTGTATGGCATAGTGCTACGGTCCCCAAACCCTGGGCTGCAGACCTGTACTGGTTCATGGACTGTTAGAAACTGGGCCACACAGTAGGAGGTGAGTGGCAGGCTGGCAAGCAAATGAAGCTTCATCTGTATTTACAGCCACTCCCCATCGCTTACATCACTGCCTGAGCTCCGCCTCCTGTCAGATCAGTGACAGCATTAGATTCTCATAGGAGCGAGAACCCTATAAACCGCGTATGCAAGGGATCTAGGTTGCGTGCTCCTTAGGAGAATCTAATGCCTGATGATCTGAGGTGGAGCTGAGGTGGTGATGCTAGCTCTGGGGAGCAGCTGCAAATACAGATTATCGTTAGCAGAGAGATTTGACTGCACAGTAAATGTAATGCACTTGAATCATCCCGAAACCATCCCCCCTACCTGCCTGTCCATGGAAAAACTGTCTTCCATGAAACCACTCCCTGGTACCTAAAAGTTTGGGGACTGCTGGCATAGTGGACCTGGCCCAGCCTGCACCATCCTGGATATTGACAGCCTAACCTGCCTTCTCATTCACCTGTCACGGCTGCTATGTGACAGAAACCAAGCAAACGAGAAAAACCCAATGATGACCTCTACAGTGGGTTGCCTTGTCCTTGAGTGAGATCATCTTTCATCGATGACAAAGGCAGGCTGCCCTCCAGGCTGACCCTGAGTTCATTTTAGGGGTTGGTCTCAGCATTTGGAATAAATCCTAGACTTAGGAAACACATCAACACCAAGGTCTGGGTCATCTTTTCTCTCTGCATAAACCCCTGGGTCCATAATCTCTGCCCCTGTAGCAACAACTCAACACTGGTGTTGGTGTCTGTTCTCATGCCGCACTTAAAATGACAGCATCAGGGGTAAAGCTGTCCTACGTATGTTAATTTTCCTGATGACCAAAGCTTACACTTTTAATTTTCAAAACATTTAGAAATATGTATCATTTTGCATAAAAATATTTCTGTAATGAATGATATTTTCCCCCTCCTTCTTTAAAAGAGGATATATCCTAGGGAACATTTAGGAGATTAAAAAATAGTAATAAAAAATAAAAGAGGATATAACATAATTTCATGTCTTTTATGAATGATTCAGCATCATTATGATGCCTCACTGTACTGAAGTGTCATTTGTAGGATGAGCTCTAATGGTTTATAGGATTGCTGCCTCTATATCATCAAATATCTCCAAACTATTAATACTATGATTTTTGGAGTTATTATCATAGCTCAGCATGGTTTTTTCTTTGTCTGATCTTGCTCCCAGCTGGTACTTTATGTTGCTTTCAATGTCCCCACTTCCAGTAATACGCTAACCCTTAAACATGCTTTTCCTAATGTGCTATTATCTGCAAATGAGGCATGTCTTAGCTCCTTAAAATTGTTTGTAAAGTTGGAGTAAATAAGCTCTAAGCGAGGAACTGGAGGGATCCCCTGATGTTAAGTCTGTGGATTTTAATGGGACTTTATGGCATCTATTTTGGTTTGGGAACCTTTTTTTTTTTGGAGGGGGGCTTCATTCTCTGCTGTTCTAAACAGCTGACATCACTGGATTGATCTGGCCAGTTCAGAGCTTATTTGATTCTGTAATCCACTTACAGTCTAAAAATTATGTATACTTTTCAGAAAGTGGACTCTATTTAACTAATTAGACAGTAAGTCTGTGGCTTTCACAGCTCCCATGGCATGCAGAGTACAACGCTGGGTATTCATGGGAGTTCGCAGAAGTATTTTCCAAAACCTTGACCCTTGCCCTCAAGACACTAACAAGAGATAACTTAGCCAGGTTTGTAGCCACACCCAGGCCCTTGCGTTCATATTGCCTTAAAGAGGAAGGAAAAGGAACGCAGCACACGGAAACCTAACCTTCCTGACAGGATGACGGGATCATTCTGGGCTCATACCCTTCAGTGCCAAGGAGAACCAGTTTCCTGTTAGCTGTTTTTAATTAAGAGGAAGATGATTGCTTTTAATTAAGAGGAAGATGACTGCAGCTTAAATGGGTCTTTCCTGGAGTCCAATTACCGCTTGCAGTTAAGCAGGGAGGCGTGGAGTAAGTGGGCAAGACAGGCGATTTATAGCATAGAAAAGTCAGTGCAGGAAACTCGATCAGTTGTCAGCTTGAGAAAGATGCCCCTTCAGGGCAGTGAGAATGCACCCCTTCCACATTGACGTGAGAAGGAAAAGGCCCACACCATCATTTGGATGCCTAACCTTCCCAGTCCCAGGAGCTAGCTTGGATAAAGTCACCTGGACCTGGGATGGCAAATAGATTTCATTCTTGATGCTGGATGGAGAAGGGTTGGGAAGGGGCTTCTGGGCTCAGCAGGAAACTGTGCTGTGATCAACTGGTAATGTCTGCCATGGGTGCTGGCTGGGGAAGGGGTGATATTTGCTAGCCCTAAATTTTCGCTGGCAAAGTGTGATGGTTCTAGCCATATTAACGTTATGGGATATAAAGGTCTTTTGTGGAATACCATAGAACGGCATCCCCGTATGTGGCACTGTTTCTGTGGGAGCGTTGATCCTACATTCCAAATCATTGACTTGTCCTTATCCCTAGAAGTTTCCATTTATTCAAGCATAGAACTACGTGTCTTCCACTTTTAATGAAAAGAGAACATTTTTTCCAAGACACTGAGATCGTATCCTGAATCCAAGACATTGTAGTGCGGTGATTAATGCCCAACCCTTGGAGCCAGACAGACCTGTGCAAAGCGTGTCTCAGTGGCTTGTCACCTTAGAGACTGTAGCACTCTTTGCTTCCGTTTCCTCATCTGTGAGATAATGATAACAGTACCTACCTCCTATGTTGTTGCTTTGAGAATTAAATGAAATGATGTGTGGAAAGCCCTTTGCACAGGGCTCAATCAGTGTTAGCTATTATTATTATTAATAATAAACCCCTGAGTTCCTTCAAGATCCATAAACAGCAATAATTCTGTTTGCTGGATTGTGCTTATATGAATAAGGTAGCCAGGTAGATTCAGATATGGACTCAGATATATTCCTAATGCTTTTGGCAAGGTTTAAAACACCTATTTAATTCATCCAAACAGTATATTCAATGAGTCCAAATTACCGGTTTTCTAAACAGACTGACTCCGGGTTTTGTATCTGTACAGTAGCACGTGGCTTCTATTTTCTTCTAAGTCCCTTTCCTTGTCCTCAGTCCCCTCCTACCTCCAGTATCAAGCGTGCCCTATGACTTGAGGCCCTTCCTAATGCCAGGCCCTTCTCTTCTCTCCCCACATCCTCTGCAGGTGCCCCTCCCAGGGTACATCGAGGCTTACCCCCGATCCCGGTATCAGCAGAGCTCGCCCTCCAGGCTTCCTCGCCAGTACAGCCAGCCGGCCAGCATGCACCCCAGCCTGGAGCAGGCCCCGGCGCCCTCCGCGGCGGCCTCGCAGCAGAGCCTGGCGGAAAATGACCCGTCCGACGCGCCGCTGACCAACATCTCCACAGCGGCCCTCGTGAAAGCCATCCGGGAGGAGGTGGCCAAGCTGGCCAAGAAACAGACAGACATGTTTGAGTTCCAGGTCTAACACCTTAGCCCCGGGGGACTCTGGACTTCCACGCTGCAGAAAACGGCCTTTGGGGTTCTCACGTCTGATGTGTTGGGACTTCAGAGAGAGAGAGTGAATGAGTCTCAAGCTCAGTTTCTGAAAAGGTGAACAGTGGGGCTTCTGGGAAATAGAGGAAACCCTTGAATGAACGACTGGATTCTTCTTGGCTTATCCAACTGATCATGTGTCAAGAAGTCCCCGATTGGGACGTTATGATTGATATTCATTATGTTGAATGTTTGAACTGGGTGTATGTCCCTTTGGAGCCTTAATCACAAGAGGCACTAGCTAATCTACAGATTCCTGTCCAATGCCATATTTTAATAAATCACTGGAAGGCGGAGAATATACCTCTTATCTTCGGTGACCCTGCATGTTAACTCTGTTTCTGTGTTAAGGCAACACAGGAGCGTGGATTAAGCACCAGACTATACTCTCTGTCATTCAGCCGTGACCGTGATGGTTAACATCATCTCTAGTCTGTAAGGGAGACACTGACTCCAGCCAAGAAACTTGAGTCCCTTTTTTTTAAAAGGTTCATATTCAAAGTCAAATGAAATTGGATGAAAGTCAGTACCCATGGCTGCGCCTATAAATAGTCCTGACTCTTTATTTCCCCCATTAATTAAAAAAAGGCCAAGAAAGAGAAAAGAAGAGAGGGAATGGTAGATTTGTGCCGACAGGTTTTCTGAAAGGTGTTGTCGCTTTGGGAATAGAGCACCCCACAAGTTAGGATCTAACTGAAAGAGAATCGGTGCTAAGAGCTTTTAGGATCCTACAAAGAAACACAGTTATTTGTGGAGGTTTTTCTTCGCCCTGCATTGAAGGTGGCCTGAGAACAGAGCTTCTCTCTTTGGGGGGATAACAGATACATTGCCTTTTACAAGAAAATCTCTGTCTCTTCAACAATGATGTCCAGCCTGGGCGGCCCAGCAGTACAAAAGGGAATAGTAACTGATCCCTGTTAGAAACAGGAGCGGTGGATCCATAGTCTTCCCAGGCGGCAGCCTCTGTTTATAGAAGCTTCTGAATGTAGGAAATCTGTTGAATTGCGTTTAAATGTAAATAAACTTTTAAAAACTGTGCACAGGGAGTTAGCCAGCTCCCTACAGCTAACGGACGCAGGAGGACATGTGCTGAAGTGCCAGGACTGCTACCTTGTGACCATGATGTTGCAAGTCACCCTCCCTGGCATGGCGAGTTGGCCGCCAGAGCTCTGGGTAGGGGACATTGCCTCACAGCACTGAGGCACCAGCTGCTGCCCTGCCCCCCGCCCCGTCCCCAGCAACGTGAGCAAGACAGCTGCTGACTTTGGGTAGCAGGGAGAGAGGGGACACTTTGGTTCCCTTACCAGCTCTGGGAGCCTGTACAGTATTGGGGGCTTCCTTGGTGTCTGTTGGAGAACGAGGTCCTGTCCTGCTTTCACCCATGATCCATCTAGCTTCTGCTGTCTCCATCCCTTCTGAGCCCATCTGCCCATTGTCCTCATGAGTTTCTTTGGTCTTTACTGAAAGAAGAAGGTGGAAACTTAAACATAGAGAGAAGACAAAAAATGAAACTGATTAGAATGGGAGATTCAAACTGTCAAAGCACAGACTTTTCAAAGAAGCCGTTTTTATTTCCCAGTGGCAAATTGCCCTTTTTGGAATGTTCAGAGATGACATGTCATGGAATTCCCAAACAAGTCTCTTGTTCGGATGATAATAGGTAGTGTCCTTTTAGTATGCTGGTTGATCTTTCATAGTGTTAGGTTTTTGTTACTTAAAAAGAAATCAGCTATAAATAAAATGTATTTTTGTAATTCCCTTGTGTATATATGGCATATTTCTACCAATGGTCCGTTGTTGTAGTCCAGAACCTAAATCAGCTTGCAGAACACTGTGGACAGTGCAAGATTTTATGGACAGATTAACATAATGCCTGAGTCTATCCAAATAGGCATTCAATGCACTTGAATGAACAAAGAGCCAAAGAAACTCAGCCTTTTCATGCAAATGGTATGAGTCTGATAAAGTCAGCTACATTGTCCCGCTTTCCCAATAATATTAATATTTCATCAGTGCAATGATATCAACCCAGTACTTTGTCTACTTGGTACACGCCTGGAAATACTGTATGTGAAAATGACGTTTCAAGACCTTAGTGTAATTGAAATATATATACATGTTTCAAAAGACAGTGTCTGAGCCTTGGATGTTCCGATGACTTACAGAGGCTGCGTCTACAGTCTGCAGAGGTCTGGCTCCCCAGGTCACTAAGAGGATGGAGCCACAAATCACTATGGTCTTTGCAGAAGCCCATGAAATAGCGGAGACAACTAAAAATACAGCGTGCTGCATCCGACACTCTCTTACACTAGACGTCATGGGTTCAAGAGAAGTAGATGAGAGGAAAACCTTAAGTTGAAAAGAAATCAGTCTGTTCCTGTTTTCCCACCAATGGGGAGACAGCCCCCCGTGGTTGGGTTTTCTGTGACTGAGGTATGGCCCCTTCTCTGAAGAGTCTCCTGACCTCGTGGAGGTGGCAGATACCTGGATGCTGACTCTGAGAAAAGGCAGATGGTCAAAAGGGCCTCATGGAAGTGAAAATAGGGTTCCGTGAGAGCCCCGAGGAGGCAGCACTGGACTCTGTGTTCATCAGAACCCTCCAGTCACAGAAGCCGCAAAGGACCTTGGTTGACGTGGGAGGAGGAGGAAGCGGAAATCCAGAGACGTGGAGCAAGTGACCGGCCCGGGGATTCCAGCCCACTCTGCTGATCCGTGACCCGGCTCGTTTTCCATCTCACCACGCGGGTTGCAGGCTTGTCCGTGACACGTTTCTTTGACTGTGCCCGGAAGTTTAAAAAATACATTAAGGGTCATGTGAGGGAGTCCATGATGTTCTTGCCAAGAAGAAAGATGAGTGATTGCGTATGTAAGGAACTTCAGATACAGTGTGTAGAGGATGATGCATTTTGTAGCATAATAAACATTTTTCAGCACTGGTTTCGATACGAGTTTTCTGCGTTTGTGAAAAAAGAAATGCATTTTGGCTTTTTCCAGAGAGTGTCGTCAAGGAAATGGTGTCCTCACCTGCTGTTCAAGACTGCGGGGAGGAATTCCTCTCTCAGCACCAAGGATCCAAACGGACAGGCGGGGATGGCCTTTCCTGCTTGTCCCGGTGTGGTAGCAGACCCCGGGCTCTGTGTCAGGGGAGGGGCCTGCTGTGCAGGAACATAAAGGTCTGGGGTGTGACCCGGTACCTACGAGGGAAGGCTTGTGTCATAACGAGATGGCAGCTGTTACCTATGGAGCAGGGAGTTTCCTCTTTCAGGGTGGATTATGTAAGGATCAATTCTCTGGTCCTGGAAGAAGTTTTATTGTGCATTTGGTAATTTAACATCTTGGCGGAAGGGCTTATAATTTCTGAGTTATCCTGATGGAAGAAAGGAAATTGTTCGATCTGTGATTAAAAAAAAAAAAAAGCAAAAAACCTGCTGAGAGAGAGTGTAGAGTGGAGGAGGCAAGGAATGTAAATGTCTAACTAAAAGAAATGCTTTGCTAACAGGCAGAAATTAGAGAAATGGATGAAAAGATTTAAACATTGATTGCCTATAGAAATGAGCTCCCTTTTTTCTACATAGCACTCTGTTGGGGACTCAACATTCAATGAATAATATAACAAGTATTGTTTTAAAAGTTTGGACTTAATCCTAAATTCCTTCTACCACACACCAGAAAATAATTTGGACTTTCTTTACAAAATACAGCCAATACTCTTAAGGAAAGATAGTCATTTAGCTTGGAGTAGTGACTGACCAGGGTCTAAGTGTTGGAAATGTAATTCTGCCATTCAGTCCGACCTCGAAGGGATTCCGGTCAAGGAGCTTTTGCAAGGACTGGAGACCCGCTCACACTTGCTCGAGCGTAGGGGCTGGCTGAGAGAATGCAGGGGTATTTCACAGACACAAAGCACAGCTCCTCTCCGGGAAGGGGTGGAGGTGGTGGCCCTCGCTCTTACGCTCTCTCACATCCTCTTTCCTGATGGGCTTTCATCCATATCTGCTCCATCCTCGTGCTTCCCCTGGCCAACCAGCTTTCTCATTAGTATATGTCCTAAAAATCCACCCAGGACCCACCTCGCACAACCTTTCCTCTTCAGTACCCTCCACTCTGGGATTAGCATCTCTGTGCCCCCTGAGGCTAATTCTCAAGGATCTGATTGGTCCAGTTCATCTGCCTAGGGATGAGCCACCCAGCGTCAGCTGTGCCCAAGGAGGCTGGGTCATGTAATATAAGCATGGCCCCCTGGACTGACCCTTTCAGCGAGGGCTTTTGTTGGGGGCTAGCACCCAGAGGAAGGAACACGAGTGGACAGGACCTTCAAAAGGAACCTACTACAGACCGGAATTGACCAGTACACCTGGGATGCCACCCAGCAGCCAGTCCTGGGAGAGCAGCCTCTCTGGAGACTGCCGCAGAGAGGCAAGGGGCGTCCTTCACTTACACATCAGGTGAGAATACGTGACCTTGAAACCCTGCTAGACTGGCCAGAACTGCCCCAACCACTTCCCACCCCAACACCAGTTATTGATACAGCTGCGGGGTCTCAGAAGTGATCTCTGACCAAGGCCCAGTTAGCACAACGTCTTGCTCAGCAGACAATAAATACTTGTAAATTGAATTGCATGATCTTAGCTCAGGTGCTATTAATGTGGCTCGCGGCCACACACTTGCATGGATGAGAAAACCAATGAGCCTCTCAATAGAGTCTTTTAAAACAAAATTGGTTTCAAGTGAAACTGATATTATTGTGGCTCTGACCTTCTGAATATAATAAGTTAGTGTCCTGAGAATTGAAAGGTCTCTTGATTTCTTAGGTGAACTCTTACAAAACCCTAGCCTAACATGAATACTAAAATGTAAAGTGTTTCTGAAAGGGACTATTTAGGAAATGTAATTGTGCCAGAAACAAATTCTTTTGGAAGATATTAAGTTGTTTTGATTCTGCGGGTTTCAAAAATCAGGAAATCTGTGACATGGCAGAATTCATCTCCATAGGTCAAACCCACATTTCGGCAAGAGCCGTTATATAAGGAAATCTAAAAGTGGATTATTTTCAATCTCTGACCTTGGTCAGACTTTTGCCAATTATGAAGGGAGGCCGTCAATGTATTTTACATAAATTAACTGTGGCCTCACCTTATTTCTCCTCATCTCTTCCTTATGTCTAAACTCATCCCTATCACACACCCCAAACTAAGTAGAGGAAAGGTTTGTATTAAACAAAATCAGAGAAGTTATCAATGGACTGGAAATTTTGAAAAAGGTATAAATATTCTTGACCTTGAGTGACTCACTTTAGTCTCCGATTCCTCATCTGTCAAATGAGTACGACAACATCTGTACTCCCTACCTCCCGTGGTGGTTGTGAGGAGCACATAGCATGATGTATCTGAAAATGGTTTGAAAAGTCTGTGTGAAGGAATTCTTACTAAATTATGGGTTTTGTCATTCAGTTCTCTCCAGCAAAATATTTGAGCTCCTCCTATCCACTGAATTGATTTGTATTATCATGTGTTCCTTGACACAACTTCTTGTCAAGGAAAAATAAAGAAATTCCTAAATTTGGAGTTGCCCACAAAAGCCAACCTCATCTGGACTTGCTGTTATTGTCGTTGTCGTCTCTGATTTGGAGGATGTGTAAGTACTTGTACATGTGCTTTAATTCTGGGTGATAAACCCAGACCAGCGATTCTTTAAAACCACATTAGACACGTTGGACAAAGTACTGAACAGAAGCTTGGAATGTAGCTGTTATTTTAATGCTTTGCTTTCTAATTAACTTTGTACGTCCTTAGCCTCTGCCGGGAACAGAGTGTTCATATGCTGTTAGAATTTTTTATTGTAAAATAAAATGACAAAAGGCTTTCATACCCCAAAACCTGCCTGCTTCTCATTCTACCTCTTCCAGTTGGTGAGATGGAATCCCTTTCGCAACCCAGCCCCACAACAACGGGGGGTTGCTAAAGAACCATTGCAGTCCTGGCAGACCCAGTGTGGTCTCAGAACCACCCCAGTGTGGGGCATGGGCTTATGGGCCAGGAAAGGCTCACCCCTGGCCATCCACAGGTCCCACAGAAGCAGTTCCAGCCCACCCATGACTTGGCAACTGAAGAAAGATGTGTTCCTGGAGCCGATGGGGTCCCGGGGCAGAAGAAGCCAGTGTCTGCTCAGGTGCCCTTCTCAGAGCATAAAGAAGTCCCATCCAGGTCAGTGGCTCCCAAGGAGTCCAGGGAAGACAATGGTATGGGACACAAGCTCCCAAGACCACCTACCTGTCCCCCTATCCACCGCCCGTGCTAGTCCCAGTAATCCTGACACCTGCCCTCTGTCTAGCCCAATCCAGAGACCATGTGTCCCTGTGCTGCCTGCTTTGCCCTCTGGCTTACACATTGGACAGGAGAGTGTGACCCAGGAGCCACAAACTCAGGGTGACCAGCCACAAAAATGTGGCTCAGCACAGGGGCTGGGCCAACCCACTTCTCTCTTGGAAATGCCAAGAAACAGAATCTGTTAGCAGTGGATGTTGAAACTGGCTGGTTGAGACTCCGAGGGGCCGTGATAGGCTGTATTCAAAGCAAAGATCTATTATAAGAAAGCAGAATACTGAGTAAGAAGGAGACCTGGGGCCAGACTTAGAGTAGAGGTAAGAAATCCTGTCTGTTTTAACAACAGACAAATCAACCCTGGCTGTCTATGAGACATCCCTGTTCCCTTCTGGTCGGTCACCACCCTGGGGCTTTTGCAGATCCAAGGAGACTGGAGCGGCTTGGGCAGCAACACGGTGCTGCTTCTCACCCAAGCTGCATTTGCTCAAGTTCTCTGCAAGTACTTAGAAAGTGCTGAGAGACCAAAGGAGCAATTCTTACTCCCCTCTCTGCTCACCTGTGCTGAGGGCTCAGATATGCACAAAAGATGCTCCCAAAGCCGCTGTCTTGCTCCAATGATGAGGAATAAGCTTGGAGCCCCTACAAGATGCATTTTATGAGGTTCACTGTGGAGTGGAGACCGTCACAGAGAATAGCACAAATGGGTCCAGGAAATGAGGGGCTCCCTATGCCTCCATTTTCTTTTTCCTTCCTCCTGGGCCCTGGTTGCTTTTGGCTTTGAGGACAAATGAACTGGTCACATGGAAGGAAGTGGCCAGATAGGAGTATGGTACTTCCATACCAGGGTTAGGAGGCAAATACAGACCCAGGGGGCTAGAAAGGCCCATGGCAAACCCAGCTTCTGCTTGCTGAGTCTCCACCGGAAGCAGGAGAGCCTACCTATTCCAAACGACAGTCTCTAGACTTCCCTGAGTATATGCCATGCAACCAGCTCAGGAACTCTGCTGGCCACTGGAAACCAGAAAGAATATTCTTAGGAAGGAATGTGGAACCAAGTAATGGAAACATGAGCAATTGTCACCTACCTGGAAAATGTACACAGATGTTTACCAGGTGCTATAGATGGAGTGTTTACATTGCCTCCCTCACAACTCATATGTTGAAACTTAATCCCCAATGTGAGGGTTTCTGGAGGTGGATCTTTGGGAGGTGATTAGGTCATCAGGGTGGAGCCCTCATGAGTGAGATTAGCGCCCTTATATTATATAAGAGACCCCAGAGAGAACTCTCAGCTCTTCTGCCATCTGTGAACCAGGAAGCAGGTTCTCACCAGACACCATATCTGCTGGTGCCTTGATCTTGGACTTCCCAGATCAGAACTGTGAGAGAGAAATTTCTGTTGTTTCGAGGCCACCCAGTTTATGGTATTTTGTTATGGTAGCCTGAACAGACTAAGACAGTAGGAAACAATTGCTTTGAGCCTCTCCGTACCTCTTGGAGGTATGGTTATGACCAATACTGGTTTGTGCAGTTGGGCACTTCATTTTAATGATATCTAAGTGTTAGTGTCGGTACATGCACAAACCCACATTTGGGAAGAGGCCATCTGACTCACTGACATAAAGTCTAGTCTTGTTAGCATAATAGTTTCCCCACCAAGTCCTCCAAGCCTCTGACCCTGATGAGTCTTCACTCAACATATTAGAGAGTTTGCTTTGTCCTCTAGTGACTGCTCCATTGCCTGGATCCTCAGTCCTAGTGGCTGAGGCCTTCAGGAGACCTACAGGACCTGTGGAAGCTACACCCTCTGAGGCTATATCCCCATGAAGTCAACACAACCTAATGAAAAATCAGGCTACCACCCAAATGCCTTACCTGTGGAACATTTGGAAACAGGCTGGATTTGGGACACTGGGTCTACCAGTTAGCTGGATGTTGTGCTAGATTTTTCCGAGGTCAGATGGGATCGGGTGCATTCAGGGCGGTATGGCCGTAGATAGTGCTAGATTTTTCATGCTTTAGCCTACTCTGCCAGAATTTGTGGAGACAGTGCCTGAAGCTGGTTGCATGCTCCTGGGGACGTCCATTTTCTAGGTCAAGTTTTGGCAGCATCAAGAGAAAACTGTGAAAGCAAGGGGCTAGCCAAATTGCCTGAGCTCCTTCAGGTATTAATGTTCAGGGGCTTTTAGTACTGAAACTTTGCTTATCTTTAAGGTTTTGTCTCTAAAACTGATAGGTTCCAAATAAGACTTCCATGCCATGGTGACCAACTCTTTTAGAATGGGTCCAGGTCCGGGTTCAGAAACCAAATACCACAACTAAACAGACATTAACCCTGGAGAAGGGCTGCAGGGAAGTCATTCTGCCAGGGGCATGCATATCTGGGTATGGTATAATCATTCATTTTTTTCTTTTAGAGACAGGTTCTGTATCTGTCACCTAGGCTGTAGTACAGTGACATGATCATGGCTCACTGTAACCTTGAATTCCTGGGCTCAAGCATTCCTCCTGCCTCAGCCTCCCAAGCAGCTAGGACTACAGGTGTGTGCCACCATGCCCAGCCAATTTTTAAATTTGGGGGTCTTGCTATGTTGCCTGGGCTGGTCTTGAACTCCTAGTCTCAAGTGATCTTCCGACCTGGGCCTCCCAAAGTGCTAGGATTACAGATATGAGCCACCGTGCCCAGCCTAATCTTTCATTTAACAGGAACTTCCCAGAAGCACTGATAGAACCTTCTGCATAGCTATCCCTTCGGTCCTTCATAGGCTGAGCAAACATTTCCTGAGCACCTGCCATGTCTCGGACACCATGCCAGGTGATAGGCACTCAATAGTGAGCAGGACACATCTGCTGCCTCTCACTGAGTTCATGGTCAAGGAAGATTGATTCTCAAGACAAAGCCCAACATATTAAGGGCTCACCATTCATTCAATGCCTTTCTGCCTCATAAAAGCCAAATGAAAACAGAAGTCCGCTTCTTTCTGGAAACATGTAGGTCTAGAAAAGGACAGACTCTGCTGTTGCATCTTCCAATTATGCTACACAGCTTTCCTTCCCAATTATCTTTAACCAATTAGCAAAGTGCCCCCAGTGTCCCCAGGGGGAAGAGAACAAATTGCCAACTGCCAAAAATCAACAAGCGTTACAAACCCAAATTTCAGAGCTGTCACCACCAAATGAAATCAGGAGCCCAAGTGTAAGGAAAGGAATAACCAATCTGGGGACTCAACTGTGCAATCCAAATGAAAATTCAGAAACCATATACTTTATGAATGAAACCACAGTACACTGAACACTCAGTTTGAATTGCTCATATCCATGAAGTGTCATTCAGAATGTGCTGGCTTATTAATGTATGGGCTTGGGTTTTTATTCAGCCTCTGAAATATAGTGCTCTATGGAGCACATCTAAATAGACAAGCCAGGTAGAGCTTTGCACTGATACTATTCTTTCCTGCATTAGTCTGTTTAACTTAGTCCAAATTGTGTTTGTTTTTTTGTGGCAAATTTGCATATGAAATAAAGTCCATGATCTTACTGGTAATTTGCCTTCAAAGGTGTCAGCAGATATTTGTGTTCACAGTTTGTCTTTCCCCTTAATCTTTCTTTCTCCATTCCCCATGAGGAAAAGATTTTAACAAGCATTTATAGTATTTTCAGAATATTGAACATCGCCACATGATGAACTGAAGGATCTTGCTGTTTTTGAAATGTTGGAATCCCAGACTCTTTGAGTTGGAAGGGGATTTAGTGAGGATGTTGTCCTCCAACCCTGCAGTTTTACCTGGTCAAAGGTTAAGCAGAATTAGGGCTTCAGAAAGGCACGTGCTCAAAATGAGAGGGAGTGAATTGGAAGGCGGTAGAGATGAAGAGGTTCTGAATATATTAAAATAATTTGATGTTTAAAACAAAAGGCAGTACAGTTACTCTGGGGTAGGGGATGGGGGATTACAACTTTGTTAGACTTCTTAATACTTATGTTAGTGTTTAGAATTGTTTTGATTTTAAATTACATATGCGGTAAGAGGACACCAAAATCTTTTCAGTTTGGAGCCTGAGAAAAGTTTACTCTAGCTCTGAATCTATGTCATGACCACTGTGATGATACTTTAGAGGGATCCCAATCTTAGGATTTGGCGCCATCGAGACCGAAGTTTGAACCTTGCCTTTACTGTATTCAAGCTGTGCTGCTTTGGGCAATTCATGTTCCCTGTCTGAGCCTTGTCTACGAAATGTGCAGTCAATAAAGTGACCAGAGAGGGAAGGAGAGAGTGCACAGTTTACAATTGCATGGTACTTGACAAGCATGACAGATTGTTATTTGTGAAGCCTCCGCTTGAATGCTTCTAGCAAGGGGAACTTGCTGTCTTGCCAGAGCCAGTGCATCCCCTATTGATCACTCAGAAGGAGTGATTGTTGTCTCAGCCTCATCCGACCCACCGCCAATGGACAACCTCCCTTTTCAACAGCCCAGGACACCCATGAGCCCCCACCGCAGAGGCAAGCTCAGGACACCTAGAGAGGGGTGAATGGTGCTGTAAAGGGAAAAGCC